CACGCAACCACAAGAACCCAAGTTCAGTTCCCAGTATCATGTACTTAACAGAGGAGATAGGAGACATGAAGATGCATCCAGAATCCTGGCACTGGGGTTGCAGAGACAGGCTAAATCCTCGGACTTGCTGGCCAGTCTAGTTGAACCTGTGAGCTCCAGACTCAGTGAGGACATGTCTCAAAAACTAAGATGGGAAGTAACTGGAGAAGAGAACCAGCGTCTTTCTCTGGCACATTTACACACGTGTGCACGCACACACACACACACACACAGGATCCTCCCTACAGAGGCATGCAAAATACCTAAGTTATTTTTTTAAAATATGTCACTGAGTTTGAGTTTGTGACAGCATATTTGTCATTATTTGTTGTCTAATAATTTATCCAACAATTCCGTGGTCTTTTTTTTTTTTTTTAAGGATCCATGAAAACTGAGTGTAAAAACTGGGGGTCTTTGTTCTGGGAACATTGAGAATCACTCACTTGGAACATAAATTTACAGGAGGATTCAAGGACACGGTCAAACAAACAGACTCCACTTAATGCTCCTCTTCGCCAAAAAGCAAAGCTAGACCTTGCATAAATCCAATCCTGACGTATCTGAAGGTCACCAACTGAACATCTGACTCAAGGGGCACGCATAGCGTGTGGCTGCCCACCAAGAGCTGTCCCAGTGAGCGAGCTCCCATGCGTTCATGCCTGGGGCCGGGTTCTCAGTGCGAGGTAGAGAAAATAGCATTGCTAAGTGCAAGGATGATGGTTGAGATTCTGCAAGCCAGGTGGAAACCTTGGAAACCAGGTGGTTTGGTTTTACGTGCCAACAAACAAGGCTCCACCATGGACATGGTAAAAAACCAGGTGGGGAATCCTCTGTGTGAAGGATCTGGAACTGCCTGAGAACAGAGCTGCTCTGGGTCGCTCTCCTTCCCTTTTTCTCTGGAGTGTCTCCTAAAGCTAGGAGCATCAGACTATTTTAAGTGAGCTGTGTCTTAAGACTGTAGTTATGAAAAGACGTGTAATTCGAGGTTGAGAGCCATCACTCGGGAGCCGGAAGTTAGAACTGTGACGTGTGCTTTTCTTTGGCTGGGAAAGCCTCTCTCGCGTCCTGTCGTCCAAGCCGATTGTCTCCCGTGGCCCTTGCAGGCTTTACCTGGCCACTCCCTGATGAGGGCAGATACCAAACTCTGAGCCTGTCTTAGTTCCTCCAGTACTATAAATGTGTCCTGGAGCAAAGTGAGACGTAGCTTCTCGCCAATTAGTTAAAAAAGATCTAGAACCTCAGACCCAATTCTCAAGGCACGTAGTGTCGCGTGTTCACGTGATCGTGTTCATGTTAAACCACAGTGCCTTTTAGCAGCTGGACCCTCAAGCAGTAGTCCGTGGCATAGGGCAGGGAAAGAGTTTCTTTTCTTCCCTCTCCATTCAATTTAGGCATTATGTGAAACCAATTCAGCTACATCAGAACAAGTAGCGAGCGCAAACAGCAGGAGGGAATTAAGTGCTGAGCACTAAATTAACCTCAAGGCAGCAGTGTGTCTAATTCTGAGCATCGAGAAGCAGCCTGGCTCTTAGGCGGAGACACAAGAGAACTCGGAGTTCAAATGCACTTGGATGCTAGGTCAGAGACCAAGAACTCGGAAAAGTTGGCTGTTTCAAGCTTACGGATTCTTTCATGATGCCGTACTCTGTACATCTTTGCTAAGGAGTTATCACATCTGCTGCCTGTGGCTGATGGGACAGTGGTCCGAGGGAGGGCGGGCTCACGGAAACACATTTAAAAGCTTTGGACTTCGCACACACACAATGGTGGCACTAACTCCTCCTCCTCCTCGTCTTCCTCCTCTTCCTCCTCCTCCTCCTCCTCCATGCTGGACTGTTTTCAGCATCCAAGTCTATCTCTGGCTTCTGGCCCTTCTTTAACTTGAAACACCCCCCCCACTCCTCCTTATCTGCACCCCGCACCCTCTCCCCACTTCCCTACTTACACCAAAGACTGTCTTCAAGGATGGGGAAGCCCCATCTCCTTGCTACAGACTTCCCAGAATTCCCTCGAGCCTCTAGAATTCTCATGTCCTGGTGTCTAGACTATTGAGTTTGTAAGTGCTCTCTCCTGGTGAGAACATTCCTCACGGGGAGCAGTCGTTTTTTTTCTTTCCCTTTCTTTTCTTTGACACAGAATGTTTCCCTGTGTCAAAGCACATGAGCAAGGATGTTTCTAAAGTATGTCCGCTCTCCAGAAACCGGTGTGTCTTCAGTGTGTTATGTATTGGGAATAGGCAGTGGGTTTGATGCTATTCGCTTTGTTCAGACTGTTCATATACAAAGGCTTCTGCAGAGTTGGAGAAGTGGACCCAGGTTAATGTTTACAATGTTCTGATGATGATACTCCCACAGAAGACACACCTCTACTCCACAGGACTCCGTGGCATCCCTGTGTCTCTGCCATCTAGATTCTTGGCTCTGTCTACCTTTAGCCCTTGTGAAAAATGTGTGATTTCTCTACTCTTCATTTTAAGAATTGAATTCTTAAAATACAGTGTTTTCCATACCACGAGCTACCTGGAGTTATTTACTATTGCCCAAACATGGAACTTACCAACATTCTGATCCCTCCAATCTGGTGCATAGTCTTCACTGTGCGTTTGCTATGGAACACGGGCCCTAGTTAGCAGAACCCTAGAATCCCATGGCAGATGGTGCATTAATTAATTAGAGAAGGAAAGCGGCTGTCTTTTGCCTTATGAGCCTCAAGCTGGCAAGGATAGGGAGGACTATGGGACAAGCTGAAGCGGTGAACGACCCTTGCCTTCCCGTTCTGATCACTCAGAGTCTAACAACTGAGAGAACCTGGAGTCGTGAACACACGAACGTCCGGGAATCTCCTGAAAACCTGTGGGACGGTCTCAAGAAATCATGCGCACAACTTGGTCCCAACGTTAGCGTCTAATACTAAATACGGGAGAAAATGAATTAGAATTCCCAAGCCCTATAGACGAGTTTGATATAAATCTCCAGTGAAATTAAAGGCCTGAGCAGGCAAGGCTGGGCAGGGGGTGCAGAGGTCTGTATTTCTACCAGTCGGAAGCTGACTGGTTCCCTTGGAGTCAAACCCGGAGGCTAGACATCACCCCCCCCCCCCCCGGCCAAGGCACTTAATTAAACTTTCCTTTCCTGAAATCCTTAGAGAAAAGACCGACAGACTAGAACAATTTAAGCACCGAACTCCCCTGACTCACTACTTTCTATAGGGACTAACTAGATTGCCAGCCACTGCTCTGACTTTCTCAGTTCTTTGAAGTTCAGCAATCGGCCTGAAAGTGGATGGTATTAACCTCATTTTATGGTCTGTAGAAGAGTACATACCAGGCTTCAAAGTTCAAACCTCCAGAGCCATTTCTAGCCTGGCCCAGGCTCCTCACGGTGCAGCATTTCTACCATGCCTTGGGCTCCTAACTGGGCAACCTTCAGCACAAAAGGACCCGTGCTGGGCATTCTCGAATGTGAAGAATTAACACAATGACTATCAGAATCAAAGTTGAAATGTATCTTTTAAAGTGGAAATTAGAGGTTTAAAGAGCTAGAAACCAAAAGAGAAAGCGGTCCACCTACGAAGCACTAAGCCGCACAATTTAAAGATTAATAAAGTCTACCTGACATCAAATAAAGGGCATCTGTGATGCTTTGGTCAAGTCAGAGTATTTACTTTATGGTAGAAGGTCCGTATTCTGACTGTTCACAATAAAACTGCTGTTTAATCAATTTTGGTTATTCAAAATTTGGTTAAAGACTAAACCTGTCATGGCTTCTGAGCACCTATATGTACCACATGAGTTAATGATCCCCTCCTCATACAGCCAGCCAAACAGACACAGGCGCAACTGTCGCTTCAAGCCTTTCATTTCTGTTTTCTCCTTTCTTTCTGTATTTTTGGGGGGGGGGTGAGTGGGATCAACTACAGATGGAAGTTTTACATTTCCTTCGCAAAACGAAGAATTCTTGCGTGTAATTTCAGAAGTCGGGGGGTTCTTGGCTAGGGCAGGACTGAGGAGACACGGGTCCCAAGAAGCCCTCGCCAGCATGGCCTTGCTGACACAAACAGGATGTTACCCTCCAAACACAGGGAGTTTTCTGACTTTGGAGTGGCCAATCAAAACCTGGCTGCTGCCAGAAGTGAGGTGTGGACAGTCTATTGAAATTCACAGGGCGGGCAGACCACTAGACGAAAGTACTAAAGTTATTAGAAAGAAGAAAGAGGTAAAATCTGAAGTTACACTTTGTCCAGAATCATTCTGCTAAAATAACGTTAGTCCCCCGTCTATACGGGCAATAGAGCTATCTCAGGAACCATAAACAACCTCATTCGAAGGAAAACCAGATTATCTGCCTGCTGATGTTGCCACAGTAGAAGGAGACTCTTTAATTCCCCGAAATTGTACCCCAAAATCTCCATCTGATATTTAGATGTGGCAGTTTATGTGGCTAGTCACTAGTTTACAATGTGGTATTACCGCCAGTAAAGGACGGGGAGGGGTCAGACCCGAGACAGAAACTCCCCGCTTCTCAGAGCCTTCTCTGGCGGCTGAGGATCCCAACGGTCTACTCGTTCACGTCTTTCTCGTTTGCATGATTTCCCCTCAAGATTCAGCCTCCCACGGCTTCCAAGAGTACAGGCATCAATACTTCGCTCGTCATGTGCCACTCAGCACAAGCCTGACAGGTTGGCGTGCGCCTGTAGCGGCCTTCACCTGAAACCCTTCATTCACTCTTCAGGTGGGAAGGGAATCTGCATCTCACAATGAAATACTTGAATCTGACGGCTGGGAACAAGATCGGGAGGGCGGAGCTAGCGGCTCAGTTAAGGACCTGGGTCGTGAGGACGTCTCCAGGACAGCTGTGAAATGTTACATACATTTAACTCCCACAACTCCAGCTTTCCTGGCTTGGAAAGTCAAAAGGTCACAGCAGCCGAGCAGGGCACTCACCTCCCAGATGTTCACTTACCCTACACAGGGGCGGCGTAGCTGTGCAGCCATCGCGGGTCTGCATGGCCTCGGCGTGGGTGCTCGGCGAGCCTCATGCCCCTGGCCGCAGCCGGGGCTCCCGAGCGAGGAGCTGCTCCGGGAAGGCGCTGGCGTCAGGGTGGGAGCCGCAGCCTGAAAGGACGCAGCGTGGCGGGGCTGCAGGGACAGCGACTCCGCTGTCTCGTGAACGCCAGCTGGGTCAAGTTAGTGGCCGCTCCCGGAGGGCGGGCGTCCTGCGGCCGTGCCCCCAGGCTCCACCTCCTGAAGCCAACCCTCCCCGCTCTACTCGCGAGTTCGCGGCCCTCACCCGGTGGTATCCTGCAGGTGGAGCCAAGGGAAGCGGCGGCTACCGAGCACGCCCTCCGCGTTGGCACCGCCAGGGTGCTACTCCACCCAGCGCTGAGTCCCAGGCACAGCCGGAGAGATCCAAAGGGCTGGGCCACCGCTCGCACGCCGGTCCCTGGCACGCTATCCACGCGGCGCCACCTCCCCAGCGGGATCTAGATCACCATTCCCGAGTACGAAAGCAAAGTGAGCTGGCCGCTTCACTCTCCCGCCCCACCGCCCCGGAGCCACCTGGGCTGCGACATCACCTGATCTCCGTCCGCGTGGGAGCAGGCGCGGCACGCCGGGTGCTGCATCTTGGCGCCGGCCGGCTCCGCAGGTGACCTCCTGCAGCCTGGCCCCGGCTCCGGCCCTCCCCGAGAAGGCTCCGCCGCCCTGGTGCCGGCTTAACAGGGAAACTGTTTTGACCCCAGGAGTCACACCTCGCAGCTCTACCCTGCAGACTCCGCCCGACCAAGGACTGGGCACCGCGAGAGAGCGAAGCAAAAGTGCTCCGGAGTATTTACAGATTTGAAAATGCACCCCGTCTTGCACTTTTCTATCCTCCTATATACAATGATCGACACGCTTGTTTCTCAAAACAAAATATCCTGAAAGACCATTCTCTTACTCTTTAACGAAGCAGGGACCTCCAAACACGGCCATTATTCAGTTAGACCTTGCTGTCGCTCGTTTCATGTGATGCCTGCGTCTGTCTCCGAGATTCCCAGCGAGAGCAACAGCCCCAAGAGAATGACAAAAGAACCATTATTTTAGCCTGTTCCACAATGGATTGTCAAAGCAAAATTCATGCCTCGAGGGACCTCACTGACAACTCTTTTGGCTCCTTCGCATTACAGATGACGATGCTGAGGCTGAGACCTGCCTTAGGAATGTGGGGGACAGAGAACTAGGTGGACTCCTGGGAGTCCACAAGCCAGGCAATCCAAAGGGTAATCTTCAGGTCCCACAAGGGACTCTGTCTCAAGGGAATAAGTTCAAGAGTAGTTGAAGACACCACTCGAGGACCTCCTCTGGCCTCTGCATGGGCACACTCCTGCACCCCCCACCCCTGCATGCACACACACTCGCACCTCCACACCTCCATGCACATACTCCCCACACCCACACACACCCCCATCTGCATGCACACGCTCACACTCCACACACACCTGTCATCGCACACTCCCAACTACACACACACCTGCATGCACACACTTCTCACACACCAGTATGCACACACCCACACCTGAATGCAACACTCCCCCATATCTGCATGCATACTTCTGCAGCCCCACACAATTGCATGCACGCACTCTCGCACCCCCATGCACCTGCATGCACCCCCTACACACACACACACACACACACACACACACACACACAAAACCCTGAGGCCTAAGGCTGGCACTAGCAGGCTCTCTGAAGGTCCAGTTCAGTAAAGAATGGACCCTGAGAGCAGAGGGGTTGGGAAGCCATCAGACCTAGGTCAGCCTTAAGAAAGTTGGGTGCTTTTAGTTTCTGTTCTGTGTAAATCAGCGAAGGGAACTTTTACCTGAAAAATACTGTGGCTCAAACATGTAAATGTGTGACTAATGGCATCAGGGTGCGGACATCATTAAATTGATTTGTTTGATAAGCAATTATCTTAATATACAAAATTGACTGTAGCTAGGTGGTGCATGCATTCACACACAATTCAGCTCAATAATTATGATCAAATGCAAGGCTCTACCTTGAGGCTCAATTCCTGTGCTATTTGCTTGCCCTTGCCTTTCTCAGCTTTAGGGTTCAGTCAGTCTGTGTTGCTATGATTCTAAGAGATCGGGAGGGATGGATGCTGGTCCTTGATGGCCTCCAAGAGAGAAGAGAAAGAAAACTGTGGTTGTGCATCCTAGTTACTAGGGCAGAAGAAGAAAATGGGCGAGGCTAGTCTCCGGCCTCCATCAAAAGGGCACCCCGGACACACGCATAAGGCTTTCTTTGTCTATGCGCGTGTACGAAGTTGTAGAATGTGTGTGTGTGTGTGTGTGTGTGTGTGTGTGTGTGTGTGCGCGCACCTGTGTGGAGGTGTGTGCCCACAGCTGCGTGTAACAAAGGTCAGAAGTCTACCTCTGCTCCTCTCTACCTTCTGTCTCGGCACAGGGTCTTTCCCTGAATCTGGCACTGATGGATTTGGTTAGATTGGCTTGTCAACAAGCCCCTAGCTCCTCCTTTTTTCAGCCGCCCCCTCCCCCGCACGGGAGGATGCAAGCACACTGTGTCACCTGGGTTTTTACATGGGTGCGCAGGGTCCCAAATCAGTATTCATGGTCACACAGTAGCGCTTCCTTCACCCATGAGTGTGTTACCAGTCCCACACACGTTATTAGCCTTGGCTCTGTTCAAGACCATAGGGACCATCTTTACTAAGAGTTATCCACGCTTAACCTCCGGCCTACGAGAGAGGCCGACCGTGGAGGGGCAAGGTCTGTCGCCACACTGTGACTACGAGGTCCAGAGGATACCCTCCCTCCCCTCTATTTCAAGCTGGCAAGAACATTAGGTTTGGTGGGGATGGCCAAGCCTTTGTCTTTGAGCCTGTGCCAATGCCTGGGAGCCGGTCCTGAGGCTCCCCGGGGTTCAACACAGCCAGGCCTCTGTCACAGCCCGCTTTTTTTTCTGCCTCCTTCACTTCCAGGAGCCCAGTTCCAAGGCGGTCCTGACAAAAGAAGCCTGCTCCTGTCTTGGGACCAGATTGGTTTTGGTCAGTAGGATGAATGCAAGATCCAGATAAAGGTGGCTGCAGAGAACATGGCGCCCTCTGCTGCTGAGGCTTGAGACTATACGGTTGTGAACTTTTCTTACTTGTCAGATTTGGAGGCCAGACCCAGATACCCTCCCTCTGGGACTGGGTGACAGACACACTTTGTCGAGCCCTAGGCTAGGGTTCTGTGATGTAAAGCTTTACAATTCAGGAGGAGAAATGGTGTGTGGATCCTTTAAAAATATTTATTTTTTTATGTACATGGAGTTTTTGCCTGCATGTGTATCTGGGCATCCCAAGTATGCCTAGGGCTTAGAAGAGATGTCAGATCTCCTGAGACGGGAATTCCAGACAGTTCTGAGCTGCCGTGGAGCCCGAATCTCTGGAACAGCTGCCTGTGGTCTCAGCGGCAGAGCCTCCTCTCCAGCTGCGTGAGTTGATTCCTCACTGTTTTCTGCAGTCCATGACACCTAAGTAACTGTTGGAGTGTAAAAATGCCATCCGTCCTTCCTTCCTGCAGACTTTAACTCTTTCCACCCCTCCCAGTCGACCCTGTGCCCAAAGAGGCTTCGAATCTCAAGGTCAGCCTGAGTCACACGGCTGAGAGAGTCTTGTCTAACATGTTCACAGAATCAAAGGCCAGAACATCACTTCACCTGATACTTCACAAGGGCCCAGGAGTGTGTGTGTGTGTGTGTGTGTGTGTGTGTGTGTGTGTGTGTGTGTGCACGCGTGCATGTGGTACAGATATGAGACATTGCTAACACCAGCGAAATATTAAAATGGTCATTGCTGCCAAATATAATATCTAGATGTCATTGCTTTACGTGTTTTTCTTGTGGCACATGTGTTTCAATTTCCATTATCTCATTTCTTGCAGTGTTATCAAACGATTTGTCTGATGCTATCAAAATAATTGAGTCTCTTCTTGGCATTCTTTTCTCTTGTCTGTGCCCTTGCACAGGGCGAGTCTAAGAAAACAGTTTTGGTTCGATTCAAGATTTTTCCTCAGAAATCAAATCAGCGGCCGAATACTTAATAAATTGGTCCTCGGATTTCAGATCGGTCAGCGTAAGAAACGGTTTGCCTATCTAGCAACGTTTTATGGTTTCGGATGTGCCATGCAGCTGCTAACCCTTGGTGGACAACGAGCCACTTTAACAGAGGTGACGATGACAGTTACTAGGCAAGACTATCAGGGATCCTTTTTACAGTTTGTTGCTGATGATAGTTCTAGTTATTAATCAGCTATGAATTGGGAACCACAATGGCCTTCTACAATGCTATCTCTGTTAAGTTGGGAGCGTAACCCCAGCCCCTGGCATCCATCCCAGACCCCTTATAATAATCTTCTGAAGTGTGTTATCACTTCACTTTCGAATAGGAGCGAATGAGAAATAGAAGGTAACTTCTGACGTGCAGTCGAACTTAAAGATGAATCCAGCCCTGAGTTCAAAACTGAAGAACTAGCCTGCCTCATTCCAGACTTAAAAGCCACCAGGAAAGATAGATAAACTAGGTTCACTCCACTTAGGATTAGACCTCTGCTTCTCAAGGATTAGGTTATGACCCACTTGTAACCTTAACTCCCAATGGTTCTGTGTTGCATGTTCCAGAAATGGTAATTATGTCTTTGTTTCAAAAAGGTGCTTAGAATTTATAACTGCCTTGCAACCCTACCTTGGTTTCAGAAGGTGATATGACCACCTATGACACTTTTATAACTACCTGTTCTTATGACTACTTTGCTATGCCTACCTTGTGACGATGTCATTGTTTCAGGATGGACTAATTTATTATGCTTATCTTCTGCTCCTATAACCCTGTCTATTTTCCCATCAAATCCCCCCATCTGGACTCTACCCCTGAGCTGTAAAAGCCTTGTCTTCCTCACATCCAATGTGGACCTGTCGAATACCTCCTTAGGGAGAGGCAGACTATATAAAAGAATAATAATAAAAAAAACCCTTACTTTCATTAATTTGGCTGCGATGACATGATGATTTGGGTTGGTGGTCTTTCTCCTCCCATCTTCGGGATTAACAAAGCCAATGCTTTTAATCTTTGGTTGCTTTGTGCTGCTTTCCAAGGTCTCAACCATCCTTTTTCGGTAGCCTGTTAAATCTAGCCTTGGTTCTCAACTGCAATCTCTCCCATCCAGCTCCTACACCCTCTGCTCACATGGGCAATTAGCCCCTGGCCAGTTTACCAGGATTTGAAAAGCAGGTGGACTGCCCCCAAAGCTGTGG